TATGAAAGCTCTAGTATTGTGTGCGTGTGTCTCTTAAGTTTATGACCTATACATGTCCTTATATTGAGATTAGAGTATCAAAACAATAGGGTTTCTGAGTAATTTAATGTTAAAACAGAAATCAGAATTCAAACTGCTTTATTGATCGAGCAAGGTGTTGATTGATTGACACAAGGCCAGCAGGCTTCAATTGATACCTCAATCAAGCAAAGTCTGCTGTCCTATCTGGTTTTGGATTTTGATTTTGTTCCCAGAAACAATTTTAATGCATCTTAAGGAAGAGGGTTCTGAAATTCCACCACCTAATCCTTGGGTATATGATTCTTTCTCCTTTTAGGTTGTCTTTTTACATATAAATCTAAAATAAGAAGCCTATGCTGTGATGTTAAATCTCTCTGGGAATAACCTTACATTCTTTGCTTGTTGATCGATGATTGGTCTACCTTTCTAGTTAAAAAGTAATTAATTTGACTCACTTATCAAAAAAAAAAAAAAAAAAGTAATTAATTTGACTCATATTTTATCCACTTTTAAAGGTTATCAAGTGTTTATCTCTCTTAAGATTATATACTACCGCAAAATCTAAGATAGCCTCCTGGCATCAAATCTATCTCCAAATCCATGTCCACCATGTATCATCTCATATCCTTCACTCTTTTCCTACATGACCATCAATGTCTTCTCCTATATACACTTTTGTCCTTCGGGTATCCTTGCATCAATTCATTCATACGTTCCCAAAATTCTGTTTTAATATCCTCCTCTAGTCCTAGTTGGGGTGCATTAGCCCATGTTTCCTCCTAATATGAATTTCACTAATATTATCCTATCTTCTTTTCTAGTAGTGGTTATCACATCTTTTAAATTCTTATTAGTGATTATTCCTACCCACTTAGTTTCGAGTAGACATAAAATATTAATTTTTTTCTTCAATCATAGTGTCTGTTAGAGAATATTTTTGTTTCTTTTTAGTTCTTATGGGTACTTTACTCTTTTACCCTTTTTTTTTTTTTCTTTCTCCATAATTGGTGTTGTATTGAAAAATGGCAAAATTAAGTACAGGTGCACAGAGGGCATAACCTCAGAATGGAATGGGGCCTAAGCTTCAAACACAATTATTAGTTTACCTTTTATATTGGGTAGTTTAGTATTTTATCATTAGTAATAATACATACGACAGTTTCTCTATTCTTCTCAATTGTACAAAAACTATAAGTGTCTACCAACTCCATTCCATTACCCATCAAGGTTCCTATGTTCCAAGTCCCTACCCTAAGCCTACTATCCTGGGTTAACTTCTTTACCCGTGCTCGTTCAGAATAACGCGGGAACCCTTGCCCATTTTTTACTTCATCTGCTCACCTTGCCCAATTTTTGAAGCCCCGGAAGTTGATACACCACGTCGCTTAGGGGAACACCCTAGCATTTACTCGTGTATTCATAGGATTCATGTTCATATTCATGACAAAGGGTTGTGTTGGCTGTCAAGCTACGTAAAGCAACCCTCCTTTATCTGGGCTTGGAAGCGGCTGTGTAAATAAATACAAGCGGAGTTTTTCAGACCTGTAGAAAGATTAGAGTCTGGAAACAATAGGGTTTCTGAGTAGTTTAATTTTAAAAAGAAACTTAGTGTTCAAACTTCTTGATCAATCGAGTCAAATGTTGATCGGTTGACACAAGGCTGGTAGGCTTTGATTGATACCCTGACCAATCAAAATTTGCTGTCCTAATGTTAATGCATCTCAAAGCAGGATTCTGAAAAAATAAATATGCAAAACATGTAATTCTAGTTATTATATGCAAAACCTCAATCGGTGAGTGTCCTTATTGAAGTTAAAAATTACCTTTTCGCCTTTGCAACTGTGAAATTCCTGATCTGCCTTTGGATAAGGTACCATAGCTAACTAGGCGCTAAAACAAAGGGAAAAAAAAAAAAATACAAACTCCAAGATTTGATCACATATTTGCCAACCCAAGTCCTAAAATTAATTGCATCCAAAAGGCATTGTAAATGTTCAACACACGGTGTAATGCATTCACGAACAAAATTCAAATATAATTGTGAGTGATCATAATTTTTTGTTGAATTTACCTTTTCAATTTTGAATTATAGCTGCACTTTTTAAAAAAAAAAATCGTGAATTATAGCTGCAAGTCTTTAATATTTGAACTTCTTGATTTTTGATAGTCAGTCTTCACTGGATCGGTATTAAACTAACATATTACTAACTCAAAAGTGAAATCTAGATTACATAATTTGGCTTTTGTTACTAAATTTGCCCTCATAGAGACACCAAGTCCTAGCAAAGGCCTATGTAGTACAAGGGTACCTGATAAACAATGGATGCATATGTTCTTATATGCATTTATCTTTTTGTAGAAGTTTATTGCGTTATTGTATTATTAGTTCTTATGATTTTTGAGATCAAATTTTAGTCTTTACTCTTTCTAGGTTACTATCTTAGGTAGGTCCATTTAGGGGAGTTTTTTTTTACCTGTTATATGTGTTTTATGTGGCTTATAGATGTGCAATATAAGTGGTAAAGGGGATTTCTGTTACATGGCGGTCAATAGTCTATGAATCTCCTTTAGTTTTACTTTGTATAGAAGGGAGCCTTGTGGTTTTAACTTTTAAGTTCATTCACATGGTTGAAGATGCTGATTCTCTCCCATACTATAAAATGTAATCTTCCTCCTTTTTATTCTTCTCTTTGAATCAAAATAAGAATTACTACCTTTTTTCGCTTCTCATTTTCACTATATATGGTTTTGCATATCTAAAGCCATGTGGAATGTAGTGCGCTTTACTTTTTTTTTTTGATAAGTAAAAATTTCATTGAAAGGCGCTCAAGAGGGGAGCGCTCCCAAAGGAATACACAAAATCGCCAAAGGCAACAACTAAAGCTTTAAACTATCCACAAAATCCAAAAGATCCCCCCAAAGATTTACAATTCCGCCCGTTAACCCAAAAATAAATACCACTTTACAAAAGATAAATAAATAAAGTACTTTAAATTATCTATACGGTGTTGAAAAAAAATATAAACTGTAGGAAGAGAAAACATTGCATTTAAAGAAAAAAGCAATAGTAATGAAGCCATAATTCAAATTTATAAAATTAGAATTAAAATCTAGTCATTCTAATATGACAATAAGGTGTATGCATAAGTTATTTATGGATCTAACAGTAACATTGAGGCAAACGTTGATTAGGCTCTTGAAATATATGGATGACTGCAATATATTACATGATGATTCTAGAAGTACATCAGTAGTGATATAATTTGGCAAGAAACTGATGTTTCTTTCTGGTTCCCAACATATGATTTGATACAAGGGAGTGACGGGCATGCATAAAAGGCCGCAATATGTCGCGATATATTGAACAATATATCACATTGTGCTAAAACTTGATACAAATATTATTGTAATTATAAGTCAAGTCATATTATTACTTAAAAAAAAAAATTAAAAAAAAAAAAAAAAAAAAGGTCAAGTCATATTAGCACTATTGTTAATATCGCTCTACATTGACTAAACGTCGTGATAATTGATACATCGCAAGTGTTGTGAGTAAATGGTGCCCTTGTTGCAGGAAATACTTTATCAATGTACCTTATAGCTAGATCTAATTGTAGAAACATTGGTGTTTCCTCAATTATTTGATGTGTTACTTAATAAATGGAGAGAGAGTAGATTTAGCTGGAGAAAAAGAAAGATCAGATTTCAGATCATTTCACCAATCTTATGAAGTTTAGAAGCTGGTACACATATTGAAGCACAATTTTCTTTTTGTTTCATTAACAAGGAGGTGTTGTTGAAACTTCTGATTCCCCCACCCTCCCTCTCTCTTACCTGGTATATTGGTTTTGCCATGTATAGTTGCGATTCATGGATGGCGCCTGCTTATGGTGCTTAGCCATTTCTTTCCCACCAAAAAGAGAAAAACGGCTTGACAGGTTCTCTGATGTTTCTGCTAAGGCTTCATGCACAGAGCTGGAAAGAGCCACCCCTTAATAATATATGAAATACATACATATGGTGGTTATTATTATTGGTTTGATTGGTTGAAAATTTTACTGGAATACAACATTCACTTAGGAAATCATTATAGAAACAAGTATGGATAAATGTTTGTTACGATAGATTTATAGAAGTTACTGGCTACGAACAGTTAGCGAATATATTCCAAAAATAAAAAAGAAACAGGTGGGAACAAGGTCTCTCTCTCTCTCTCTCTCTCGTGGATGTGTAGATAGATGTATCAAGGATTCCGAGGGGCCTTTTGAGTAGTTATGAGCAATTGAGCAATTATTTAGTTGTTTTCTATTTCCTATTTCTTGCTAGCTCTATTTCAGCACCGTTACATATTCTATGGTGCACACGTTTTACCCTTTAAACACTTTCACTATCCTGAATAGAAATGCAATTTATCTGGGATATTTGAACTTATTTTTTTAACAACCAAAATATTCTTGGGAAGCTCCTCCACCTTTTGCTTTGAAAGGAGAGGAGGACCACTAGGCCATAAGCCTTGGTAGTGGAATATTTGAACTTCATGCCATGATTTTTTTAATTATATCAAAACACTTACTGACGTTGAGATGTGTTGTTTATTGAAATTGATATTTTCTACCAAATATATCTATATTTTTTAGTCTATGGCATATCCATTTTATTGAATCTTATAACTTAAAAGACAAAATATCATAGCTGAAGAAGCAATCAGATGACCACATTTTGTATTTTATGTCACTGATGTGATATGGACTCCTACCTCGGGCTCATTATTCTCAATGTTGCTGTTGGTTACTGATTTCTTATCACCAAAATATTTTCCTTCAAAATATGATGTTGCCTCGATATTTTCAGTCTCTAGGTAGAAGATTTTAGTCATACAGATGACTTTGTCGTTTTCATGGTTGTGTCTCTGGACGGTGGTTTATCTTGTACACATATACAAGCTCATATAGTTGTCCTCTCTTAAATTATTAATTCAGGTGAAACGGCATCTGACGGAACTCAACAGTGCATTTATTCAATCAATCAAAGGTTTAAGCATTTCTCTGACTGGTTACTGGATATCATGGCTATGGGGGACTTGGATGCTTTCTTTCCTGCTGCAACACGTGAGTATGCTCCTATCGTGGACGAGGTTTGGAAAATTCCTGCAATCCAGGAAACTTACAAGAGGAAGGAAGAACTGCATTTTCTTCCAGATGTTGCCAAATATTTCTTAGATCGGGTATGCAATATGTATGTGCATTTTCTCTTGCTTCATTTTAAGTAACAGATTTACCACTTAACTAAATTTTGCTTATGTCTTGGCCTTTTCTGATACTTGCACACTCCAATAAATTATGCTACTGTTATAGGCTTTTGTATATATTGTTGGGGCACAACGGAAGCAAAAGAAGAAATAAAGCAATCACACAACAAACACAAGATATATGTGGTTCACCCAAAATCAGGGCTACGTCCACGGATGAGAAGAGATTCACTATATATGTAGAGATATTATAACAGTAGAGAATTTATAACACCGGACAATACACACAAACTCTTGACCGAGTTCTCCGTGTACTCCACGAGACTTCCTCCCGCCATCAGTGTTTACTACTTCTCTGTCCATCAATTGCAACCGTCATGAGGCTACATCTCTCTCAACTCATACCTCTCAACAATAACTTAGGTATCTATTTATAGAGTCTCATACCCAATTTCTTGGTGGACAAGGATTACAATTTCTTAGAGCCCAAGACATGTCTCTACAAGAAATTACCATAATGAAATAATTCTAAAATAGAAACCTAATTATAATAGAATTTGAGACACAATTCCTAATAATCTTCAGCTTGGCTCAAATTCCATCCTGCCAAACATCGATTCCCACGACATTGATTTGGGCAATTCTGTGCAGCTTCAATCTTCTCGATCTTACTGCAGAACTCGGATTGTCCCCACTATACGTGCTCAATCAATCAAACCTAAAGGTTCCACCTTGACTACTCGAGCTCCATGCCATGTAACCCATCATGATTTTTGTTTAATCATCATGATCAAACAAGCCTATTGATTGACTTCACCTACAACTGAAACCCGTTGCAAAATCTGTTGAGACTTCTTGTGTTTTCTATATCTTCTTTGAATAAAGGTTGAACATCCCAAAGTCGAATCATAGGCTTTGATACCACTTGTTGGGGCACAACGGAAGCAAAAGAAGAAATAAAGCAATCACACATCAAACACAAGATATACGTGGTTCACCCAAAATCAAGGCTACGTCTACGGATGAGAAGAGATTCACTATATATGTAGAGATATTACACTAGTGAAGAATTTCTAACATCGGACGATGCACACAAACTCTTGACCGAGTTCTTCGTGTAATCCATAAGACTCTCTTCCGCCATCAGTGTTCACTCTACCCAACGTGTAACTACATCTCTGTCCATCAATTCCAACCTTCACGAGGCTACATCTCTCTCAACTCATACCTCTCAACAATAACTTAGGTATCTCTATTTATAGAGTCTCATACCTAATTCCTTGGTGGACAAGGATTACAATTTCTTAGAGCCCAAGACATGTCTCTACAAGAAATTACCATAATAAAATAATTCTAAACTAGAAACCTAATTACAATAGAATTTGAGACACAATTCCTAACACACACACATATATATATATACGCATATTTTGTGCACATTTCTCAGCCTTTGCTAATCCGAGTATCACAATATGGAGAAAACTTAGTAGGATGGTTCATATATGCACTTGATTTCTCACGATTACCTAATGTTCTCCAGTCACTAACATTTGTTATGTTCAGGGCTTCTTTTTTCCAAAAATAGGCATAATTTTTTGTCAAATGAGGTTAATAAGAATGCTTTTAACATATTTGTGAAAATAAGCACTCATATATGGCCAATGTGCACGGGTTACCGAACTGCCCCTTGCTGGCTGAAGGGCATTTAAATTTTTTTCCTTTTTATACATATTTTTTAGACTACGAATCCATACATGGTCAATGCGCACGAGTTACCAAAGTGTCCCTTGCTACCTGAAAAGTAACTAAAAGATAGCGTAAGCAAGCATCCTTTACTTGTGAATTGTTATAACAGTGAGTATTTTGCTTAAGCCTCTCTCTACCATCTCATGTGATCAGCCAACTCTCATGAGGGGTGGTGGTAGGCTGGTAGCTACATTCTACTGTGTGAGACAATGGTAGTGGTGAGCTTTCAGACAATAATTTTAGTGTGACAGTAAATGTTGGACGATGGTGTATCTGGACATCCGCAAGTGCATATCTTTTACTTGGCAGAATCGAATATAGGATCGTCATGAGTAAATATAAGCACTTTTTTTTAACGAGGGGCATTAATGTAAAATCAAGATGTTAATAGAGTTGACATATCCCGGTAACAAAATAAGTGTTTGTTACAGCTTGAACAAGTTGTCCTTTATAAATTGTCGCTTGCCATTTCAATTTGAAGACACATCAAGAAGAAAAAGTACATACGGAGTGTTTGGAGGATTCTTCATAAAGATACGAATCTGGCACGATGATATCTATTAAGATTTAGATTATGAAGTATTGCTTTAATCTTTTTTTTTTATAAATAAATAATTCATTAAAAAAGCGTTCAAAAGGGGAACGCGTCCCTAACAAAACCACAAAAACCTGGGTACCCTAAGGCCCCAAGGAGGCCAAAAACTCAACAGTCTCCTCAGCAGAAGAGCAGAGTCTACTCGAACCCCAAAAACAAAGAGAGCTAATAACAGAAGATTTCAGAACAGTGATGGAAGATTCCTCTCCTTCAAAGGATCTTCTATTCCGGTCCCTTCACAAAAACCACCAAAGACACAAAGACACCATCCTCCAGAACCCTCGAGATCAGTGAGACTTTATTTAGGGAGTTGGGGTAAAACTGGATATTTATTGGGCTCTATTAAAAAACCATCACCTGAACCCACATTTACACAATGGGACATTGATAATTGTACCATTCTTGGGCGGTTATTCAATTCTATGGAGCAGTGTATTTTTAATATGTTTATGTATCATGAAACTGTACACACCTTATGGACTGCTCTCACTAAGACTTATGCTTATGCTCGTAATGAAGCCCGGATCTATGAGTTGCATCGAGATATCTCACGAGCTACTAAAGACGATTTGAAGCTGTCATTTGCAGATTACTTTGCCTTCCTTCAGTTACATTGGGAGAAACTTGCTCACTATGAGTCCCTTGGTGATATCTCAGCAAAGGCTGCAGGGATTATTAAGGTTAGACACGAGTGCCATCAGATTTATCAGTTCTTATGGGACTCCGTCTAGAATTTGCGGCCCTTCGTGCTCAAATTCTGAATACTACACCTCTACCCTCTATTTTCAAGGCTTTTGCTATTATTGATGGGCATGATCGTCGATGTCAGGTTACACCTTCGATGGCTCCTGCTATACTGTGGCATTAGTCGCTTCTTCTAGACCATCTGGTACTCGCAGCTGTGGCCGTGGCAGTAACCGTGGGCGGGGGAGTTATACCATATGTGCACACTGTGGAAAAACTAGTCATGCTAACGATAGGTGCTTCTAGCTCTACTCACACCTCAGATCTGGTAGCACTACAACTTCTTTTACTGCTGCTATTGTCGAGTCCTTTGGTGCCCATGAGCCACCTGCTCCTTCGCCTGGATGTATTGATATGCATTAGTTGCATACACAAATTGGATCTATTCTCTGAGATCATTTATCACAGGCATCTCTCCCTTCAGCTACATCTGCTGCAGCTCACTTAGGTACCATCGCTTCAGCTACATCAATTGCAGCTCACTTGGGTACCTCATCTGCATTCCATGCCTCTCAGTCTAGTATTGTTCCTCCAACTTGGCCATAGTATCTGGTGCTTCTGATCACATAACTGGCGAGTCTCAATATTTTTCGGATATGGAAGCATCCTCTGGGCAGGTTCGCCTTGCTGATGATTCTTTTACACCGATCTTTAGTAAGGAACTGTCCCTTTATCTCCTGATTTATCTTTACAGTCTGTTCTTCATACGCCTAACCTATCCCTCAACTTATTATCTGTTTGCCGCTTAACTCGTTCCTTGGCCTGCTCAGTGACTTTCTTTCTAGATCACTGTGTTTTTCAGGACCAAGCTACGAAGAGGATTTTTGACAGGGGGTATGAGAGGGCGGGTTGTACGTCTTTGGGACATCTCCAATTCTTGTATATGCTTCCGTATTACCGGACTATGGAAGACATTCTTTTATGAACCAAACTCTTGATTTATGGCATGCTTGTCTAGGACATGCTAATTTTCAGCATTTGTTATCTTTGTTTCCTGTGTTATGAACAACTTGTAGAACCCATCAGTTTCGGTGCTTTGTGTGTGAGCTTTCTAAACACACACGCACCCCTTATATTTTGCGCATGCGTCGTAGTCTTGTTTATTTGATCTTATTCATTTTGATGTATGGGGACCTTCCCCTGTTACTTCTTACTCTGGTCATAAACATTATGTGACGTTTATTGATGATTACTCTCATTGTACTTGGGTTTATTGATTAAAACCCAGTTTAATACTATTGTTAAAACCATCCGGTCAGATAATGGTAGGGAATGACTCTCTAATGATTTTCGGTCTCATCTTAATCAATTAGGGATTATTCATCAGTTGACATGCCCTGATACACTGGAACAGAATGGAGTGGCTGAACATAAAAACTGTCATCTCATGAGTGTTGTTAGGTGTCTTTTACGGGGTATGCAGGTTCCTCAATCTTATTGGAATAAGGCAGTTCTCACTATAGCTTTTTTTATTAATCGAACCCCTAGTCGAACTTTAAGGGGTAAGGTTTCATTACATATTTTGCAACCAGACAACACCCTTTTCTCTATTACTCCTCGTGTTTTTGGATGTACATGTTTTGTTCAAACCGACGTCCTACATGTACAAAGCTTGATGATAAAGCTATTCGTTGCGTTTTTCTGGGTTATTCAACTATGTCAAAAGGGTACCGTTGTTATGACCCTAGTACTAGTCGGATATATCATTCTCTTGATGTCACTTTTTTCGAAGATGTTCCCTTCTTTGGCACATCTTTTTTGCAAGTTCCGTCTTCTTCTTCCATCAGTGACTTTCTCACCCCTGGCTCAGCATGCACCAGTTCTATCCTCAACATCTCCTCCTGTGGCTCAGCCCAAGCTTCGCGTATACACTCGTCGCCCACGAGATCCC